TATTCTTGAGATGTTATTCGTACTGGTGATATCAATATATTCTTGAGATGTTATTCGTACTGGTGATATCAATATATTCTCGAGATGTTATTCGTACTGGTGATATACTGGTGGTATCAAAGTATTTTCGAGATGTTATTCGTACTAGTGATATCCTGGTGATATCAATATATTTTCGAGATGTTATTTGTACTGGTGATCTACCGGTGATATCAATATTTTCACGAGATGTTATTCGTACTGGTGATATACTGGTGATATCAAAGTATTCTCGAGATTTTATTCGTACTGGTGATATCAATATATTCTTTAGATGTTATTTGTACTGGTGATATCAATATATTCTTGAAATGTCATTTGTACTGATGATATCAATATATTCTCGAGATGTTATTCGTACTGGTGATATACTGGTGATATCAAAGTATTCTCGAGATGTTATTCGTACTAGTGGTATACTGGTGATATCAAAGTATTCTCGAGATGTTATTTGTACCGGTGATATCAAAGTATTTCGAGATGTTATTCTTACTGGTGATATCAACAAATTCTCGAGATGTAATTTGTACTAGAGATATACTGGTGATATCAATATTTTTTCGAGATGTTATTCGTATTTTTTGAAGATCCTCTAGAAATGTTATTCGTACCAAAAATAATATATACTTGCGAATGTTTTGTTATAATGTGCAGGCGTTACAAGTTTATTTATTCTGTAAGGGTCATCTAGTGGTCAATTAAAAAAGCGAGATAAAAAACTAATATGATACATGTTCATTGAAGAATACAAGGTTTCTATTATGAAATATGAATTCCATAGCAGGTCTGTATAGACCCTTCCTTCTAGATATAAACCGGTCATTATGAGTAATATGGCCATAACGATATACTCCGTTTAATATCAACAATAACTGGCCAGAGTTGGTCAATTTTCAATTAATACATGACTCAATGACATTTTATATCTATTATGTCCACTCGATCAATTCTCAAGGTCTAAGGATAGGTTTTTTTTTATTATAGGCAATGAAATAAAGATTAATTCGCTTATGATATTATGGTTTATTCCCTACATATATATTATTAATACAAGTTATTTGAAATTCAGAGGGGACACGGTGCACATAGACGAAAAGTTCGATTGACTTGGAAAATATAAGCTTATAGGATACGTGAAAAAAAAATTTATTTTGAATATAGCTCACAGACTGCTCCTCAATGAATTTCAGTAAAATACCCTTCAGATTGTGTGATAACTCTTCCCCCTTCTTCTCTAGCTGGATGACATCAGGGAATTTACCTTGAAATATCAATCATTATGTAGTAGGTTTTCCCCCTGACATAATATCTCAAAAACTATAACCATCAGGGATTTACCGTGAAATACCAGTCAATGTATAGTTAGTATTCCCTTTAAAGAGGGGTTTCCTCATTTTCATTTATGAAAATCTAAATGCTAATACCTATATGAATAGATAGTAGAGGTGTTCTAATGACTTGGGAAAATACCAGTTTGTCTCACAAGTCCATAACTAATTCATGATTAGCTCAATTAGAAGAGAATTACCAACAGAATTCCAATGAGTGACCGATCAAAAAACGTCAAAAAGTCTTTTTTTTTGTTTATCCAGACTTTACATACATGGACATTTATGATTGGTTAAAACTTAAATTTTATGCAATATAAGAAAATAATGATTTGATTAAGAATACATGCCAATTCATCAAAAACACCAATTAATCAAATAGTTTGCTTAATTTGACACTAATACAATAAGGAAATCCATCTTTAAGTCTATAGCTGATGGTGTAACTATCAGGGAATTTACATTGAAATACCATACACATCAATGTGTAATAATTGATAAGTCTTTCCCCTGATTTTGTAGCTGGATGACATCTATCAAATAGGTCAACTATGGAATAATTCACTGCATGTATCCACCGCGTTAATCTCTCAAGGGAGTATAAGAAACGACTCTTTGTAAAAGCTATGTAATTAAACAGGTGTATTGATGCAGGTAGATCATCATTTCCGGATCACCTGACACCATTCTTCAAGTGCAATGTAAGACAAGTACATGTCGCTTGCTAGACAAACGACCTTCGACATGGGTAATTTGACCCCAGGACTGAGGGTCAAGTGACATGACAACTGGCCAAAAAAAAGAATCAATGCACGTGAATGGCGCCATGTCATGTCAATCACGTGATTAATTCTACCTGGATGATTCTATTTATAACTGTCACGTGAGATTATTCCAAACTTCATGCTTTACTGCTCCATGCGCTTCCATTAACGTAATTATTAATCCATTCAGAGTTCTATATCCCACAAGGCTTCTATGAGGTCTGTATTGGATTTATTCAGAGCTGCCTTTGGAGTAGAGGTGGTTATTTTGCTTAATCTTCCCCATGTTCCTTTAGCAACGGTACGATGATAATGATCTAGCTGTGAATAATCATCGTACCGTTGCAAAAGGAACATTGTTATCCCAAATGGATACAAATGACATCGATTAAGGGCGGAATAAAGCTATTTTCTTCAGGTTTTTGAGATTTAGAATTTGTCATTTCCTGTTTGGCATGCAAAAGTTGGCATATTAACAGACGCGCAAAAATATCTCGATCTCTGATGCGCAGTGATGTCCGGGCTATGGTTTAACATTTAACCACACCAGCGTCTTAGTCCGGTAAGATATATTGTGAAATAACCACCACATTCCCACTGTAATTCTTTTGCGCTGTTTGACCAAAGCGATCACCTCTATTTAATTGAAAAATAGGTAATACCTCGCATTATATAAAGCAATAACTTTTATAAATAAATGGGGACGAAGTGGTTTTCAAGGCGTGGTATAGGCCTAAGCTCCATGTTCGGCCATACCCATGTCCATTTTGGAATGAAATAACACAAAGGTTGACTGATCTGATTGTTAAGAAATTTTCAAAATCTAACAGACAAATTTATATGAAATCAAAGTTCAAAGCCGTAAGATCAAAGTTTATTAAAAATTAGATAGCATCACCATTTAAACAAAATGTAATAAACGGGTTTAAAACGACTACATTAAAGAGATGCATAAGTAATAAAAAATAGGGTCCCACGACCTGCCCTGACCCCACAAATATTAATATCATTTGACCCCTAGGGATGAAGGGTCGGGTCATATTAACTGTAAATAAAACAGGATATTATATGTGCGTCTATTGACAGTCAGACACAGGCTCGGACACCGACAGGCAGCTGTCTTCATTAATCTCTTTATAAAACATGCATCAATTATATCCGCTAACAAAACTGATATGTGATCGTAAATGTTTGAAATGTTAAGCCTGTCATAGTATGAGGCCTGACCTCTATTTCATAATGATATTATTGCTTAGAATTCTCTATGATCTTATAACGTTTGAAAGAAGCCCGGGATCAACTATGACAGCTGTAAATCTTAGGAAAAATTAAAAAAGATTTAAAATTAAAAATTTTGCACATTATTATTTTTGTTTAAATCTTCCCAGTGTTAAAGCAATAAATCTACAATACTCGCTCATAAATGCGAAAGATAATTTTAAAGTATTTTAACATAGGAAATATCTATAACAAAATGTTAAATCCCAAGAGCGTTGAATGGTTCGTTCGGAAGTTTGATGCCGCAGGTTTGATAGATTTCCTAATCCAAGGAATGCACCATCGAGAATTCTCTTCTTCATCCAATAAAGTGAAGGACCGCTTCTGTGGTATCATCTAACTGCTGACTTCGTCCGAGTTGTAAGTTTTACCGAACATAGAATCAAATAATTATATCAAATTTCGAGTAGAACCAATGGCACAATAGCTGTACTTTCTTATGAATTCTAGACAGTACACTCCTTATAACAATGAAATGCATTTCTAAAACACAAACCCAATCGTGGAAGTGATCAATTAACATTTTTGGTTGTGGGCAAATTTAACAAATTTTTTATATTTACCAAGCACGTAGGTTAATAACTGGCTATACCTCTAACACCAAAAAAGACGTATTGAAGGCTTATGATATTTTTTTCTATTTAACTAAGTTTTCACGGAAATATTACTGTATATTGAGCTATTCATTTTCCCAAACGTAAGTAAGGGGATGTAACTACAGTTTATTTGTCCACATACTTATGCTACAGACTACAAAAAATTAACTTGTCAACAAACCTATTAAAACTCGTTTGTTATCACATAGAGAACAACTGGCGTCGATTTTTTACCGACTGAGGGTTCTATTTACTATTTCTATCTTTCAAGACACCTGATTCAATTCTGCAGTAGGTTTTGTCCATTCATGATCTCTTTTGGGGAGTCCACATTGAGTCAATAATATTTTTGTCATACATTTTAAGAAAGGACAATTTTCCATATCATTTAAGACTTTGTGACCTCCGTCATTTATAACATAGATAGGATAGGAGGCATCCTAATGAAGCAAAGTCATTTATTATGTAAGCCGCCTCTCTACTAGAATTTCTGAAGCAGCTTAACAACTTTACAGATATATTGAAAAATATGTACTATGTAATATGTAAAATATAAAATGTAATACGTAATATGTACTACTTAATATGTACTATGTAAAATGTAATATATATTATGTACTATGTATTATGTACCGTGTATTATGTACTATGTAATATGTATTATATATTATGTAAATTGTAATATGTACTACTTAATATGTGTTCTATGTACTATGTAATATGTAAAATGCATTATGTAAAATGTATTATGTACTATGTATAATGTACTGTGTATTATGTACTATGTATTATATACTATGTTCTGTGTATTATGTAAAATGTATTATGTATTATGTAAAATGTATTATGTACTGTGTTCTGTGTACTATGTATTGTGTAATATGTACTATGTAATATGTATTATGTAAAATGTATTATGTACTTTGTTCTGTGTACTATGTTCTGTGTATTATGTACTATGTACTATGTGGTTTTTAATTATCACTAAAAGAAATATGATATAACAATTGTTTTATAGAAACAAAATAGAAGGTGGAAATATGAGGAATAAAACACACAATATACAAGTACATCAATAATAAAATAACAGAAATGGGAAATGTTGAGCATATATATAACTAGATGAAGTATGCATATCATACTCTTGTGCAGGAATTACAAAGATGAATGTCAATGCCTTTAAAAATAACACGAAAACTGTGCCCATCAATTACCCACTCTAAATTCATATTCTACTGTTGAGGCATCTCTTAGTCTAGGTTTACACCTTCAAGGTGTCATTTTTACCCATATTTCCGTCAACTGCCCTACATATTGTCCAAGATATTACTTAGCACTATTTTACAATTGCAAAAATGCAAAGAAATATCAAACAAAATTAGGCAATTTGATATTTTGTACCATATGAAGCAGAAAATGTGAAATTTTGACTTGCTCTCCTTGGTTCCTTTAACTTCCTAATAAATGCTTTATATCCCAGAAAATGAGTCAATATTTCATGAGGATTGTGCTTGTTGACAGCTTTTTATAGCCTCAGCAGATGATTTGATCAATTGGCATAACTGTATACTATATTCTACTGAAACTGTCTTTTTTAACTCTTCACTAGCCCACTTTAATTTATCTTGTAAAATAGACACAGAGTCGTTCAGTATTCCTATATCTATATTGGAATTTTGTCTAAGGACTGTTAGTTGATTCTGTGGTTTAGGTAAGCTAGCTTGATAAGCTGGTTGAGTTATTTGTGGTGGATTACAAGCTACAGGTCTCTCTCTATTAGCTGTTATTTGGCTGGTGACTGGATCTAGATCACCATCATCTGGATGTGATGTCACAAGTTGCTGTTCACGAATCTGAGATAATGCTGCTGTCTCATTTATTACTAAAATTTTAAACAAAAATTCAAAAATTTAAATTAAAAATTCAAAATCTATAAAAACACCCACATGCCAAAATGGTCATTGGAAATTACAATGACCATATTAACCATGACATGACCATATTAACCATGACATGACCATATTTACCATGGAATGGCCATATTACCATGATATGACCATATTACCATGATATGATCATATCTACCATGACATGACCATATTACCATGACATGACCATATTTACCATGACATGACCATAATACCACGATATGTCCATATTACCATGACATGACTATATTACCATGACATAACCATATTTACCATAACATAATCATATTTACCATGACATAACCATATTTACCATGGTATGACAATATTTACCATGACATGACCATATTACCATGATATGACCACATTACCATGATATGACCATATTACCATGATATGACCATATTACCATGATATGACCACATTACCATGATATGACTATATAACTGTTACTACATGACCATATTTACCATGACATGACCATATTTACCATGACATGACCATATTACCATGATATGACTATATTACTGTAACATGACTATATTACTGTAACATGACCATATTATGACATGATCAGTAGACATAACTATTAAATTACCATGACATGACCATATCACCATAACATGACCATATCACCATGACATGACCATATTACCATGACATGACTATATTTACCATGACATGACTATATTCACCATGACATGACCATATTGTATTATATATAACTCCAAAAACAATTCATTAATTACTTACAAGGATTATCTTTATCTGTATCAGAATCTAAATCTTGACAAGCAACACAATAATTCTTTCCATGTCTATCTTGTAGTAATATTGTCTACAAGAGAATTTTAATATCAACAAGCTTGACAAATATCACTACTGAACTCTTTCATAAATAATCAAATCAAGTACTTTATGCAGCAAAATGTAATGCCATAAGCTTAATCAAATTTTTTCTTTAGAAATTTGGCATTTTGTCATTATTTATTCAGAAATATGTCATAATTTATATACAAATTTTGCTACAAAAGAGCGAATACATTTGACACAAAAGATACGTCTTCACAGGCAATGATATGAGTGAGCAATGACGGAAATTTAGTCTGTCAAGGCATATTTTCATTGATTTCAAATAGTCTACATGGCAGATTATAAACCATGCCAGCATCATTGTTCCAAATAAATCGCTGCTCTTCCTTTAGCTACTAAAATGGTAAGATAATATGGTATTAGATTTTAAAACCAATCTAAGCTAACCTCACACTCTCTACAAGTGATTCCCAACATTTTATATCCTTTTAATAGATAATCTCCCATTAATTTACTAATCTTATCTGATCTTTCTCTTCTAGCTTCAATAATCTTTAATTCAGCTTCAGTTGGTGGAGTCCAGTGAATGTCATCAAATCCACCCAGTCTTGAAGCTGAAAAGAATGAAGTTTTATGCCCTACCGGTACTTTTCTTGGCAAAAGGAAACCGAAGTTGTCATGTGATGAGGATATATTTTTGTCAGGATATATTTTCAATTTTCATTTGTACAACTCTCCTACATTTACAGTTTACATGGCCTGTAAACACAGAAGCTGTTCTTTGTTGATTGCCTAATCTGTTGAATGCTAACATCATCGTCGAAACGAGCCATGAGCCAAGAGATGAACATGCAAGGTGAGTCAGAAACGGACGGACAGTGTAAGAAAGGGACAAACCAATTACCCATATCTAATTCTTTTGTGAAATACTGATAAATATCTAAATTCAAATATCAAACTTTAAAATGAAGTTGTGAATGTTGTTCTTAAAATTCTACCGGAAGTTCAACTTTTGCTTTAGCATAATGATGGATTTTTTTTTGTATCCTGGAACGAAAAGATACACTATAACAAATTTGATATTTATCCATTAAAATCACAATTAAATATCAATTTGGTGTCATGCGTCAGTTACGGGTCAATTTTATCAAAGTTGATATCTTAATGTACATTATATATGCGTTTCAAAATTTCTCATTAATTGCGTCCCTAAATTTTAAGAAACCGAGAATATGCCGGGAAAGAAAACGTGAATAAAGAAAACACAAAAAGTAAACTAATAATGTTCACCCCTCAGCAACCCAGTGGAAGATCAAGGGCTTCCCCTTTTACCCCAAATCCCCGAGGTGGTCCTCGTTCATCACAGAATAAAAGAACATCTGGACTTTTCACTCCAAATCGAAGAGCCAGTGCCAATGTTTCAAGGTAGGATTAAATGAAAACAAATCGAAAGTAGAGAAAAAAATGCCTCTGATCCTACCATCCTTTTGTGTTTTGTGTTTAATATGATATCAGGTAGCAATAAAATAAAATATTTTCATTGGTTTATCATTTTGACTCATATCTTATCTGGAAGTGAGACATTCCACTAAAACTAAGTGTTTATGAGGTCACTTCCGCAAAATTTGCTTGTATCACATAAGACCTTTGCGTGAGTGACGTTATAAAACACTTAGTTTTAGTGGGATTGCTGGAACCACAGACGTCTGATTGAAAATTGGCATGGTGCAAATTGATGCCATCATCGTCCCCCAAATACATGCACAGAACAGAAAATGTCTTAACAATTCCTTTAACTAAATTATTAACTTTTATCTTCTTTTGTAGAAGTCATATAGGATCCCGATCATTGACTACATCACAGATAGTTGATGAAACAGCACAACATAGAGTAGAGAATTATGGTGTTCCATTACCTGTCTTGATAACAGAGGCTCTAACTCTAGCTGACAGTAGGTTTTTATTTTCACCTCTGTAGCTTCTAGTTATGGTTAAGTTTTATTATATAGACACAAAGCTTTACTAAGTGTGACTTATCTTTTTTGACACCCCTTTAATTGTTAGTTCACTCTTCCACATATGCATACTTCAATTAATATAATACTGAACATGTATGATCAGAAGATCTCATTCAAGATTTAGGGTTTATATGTTGATGTTGCCTGTCAAATGATCCAATTACTAGTAAAGCTTATGAAATAAATATTCAAAAGTTGTTGTGGAAATTTTGTCACATAATGTAAGCTTATGTATAAAGGAATTTATTTATATAAAATTGTCGAAATTCAGATCTTAAACTCAATTCCTTGTTGCAGGAAATACAGAGATAACAGTAAAGATAGATCCTTCAGGATGGGCTTGGCTTGTGGCTGGAAGAAAATTATTTATTTGGAAATATAAAGCCAGTGGATCAGGGAGGGTATGGAAATATTTTATATTTTGGTTGTCTTTATCTTCAAATACAGTCATGTGTGTCCAAAATTATCTGCGTTTGAAAGTTAATAAGACAATTCATCTTTTCTTGAGACACTGCCATATATAGAAAAGACATATATAGAAATAGAAAGATAAATTCCTAGTTTGAGATATTTTTAAAGGAATTTTGCGATTTTTGTACCTTTCTGGTACTTTTGAAGGCCATTTACATAATTTTATTCGAGACACAAATCAACCCCCGAGAATGACAAACAGGCCCTTGATTTACGGGGTTTTGATCTAAATTTTTAAATGACTTGAATTCATTTTTTTATTTTCTAGGGTATACAATGTAAAGAATTAAGTCTACCACCAAGTGATTTAGCTCACAATGCAGCAAGAGTTTGTGTTCTACCACATCATAGTGAGAATCAACCCCCAGCCTGTATAGCTGTCACTCCAGAAGGTGTAGTCAGATATTGGTCTAATATAGCCTATGAAAGTTCTACAGCTGAAATTAGTGCTGAGTTGAAAGGAGAAGAAACAGATTGTGTTGTCAACTGTCAGGTAAATCACATCATCTTGTTGTAGCTGTAGGACAACATAATAGGGCGGGAGCCGCTGTGGCTCAGTGAGTTAGATGCTTGCTCGCTAACCTGAGGGTCCTGCCATAGGTCGAGATAAAGTCTTGTCAAAAGTTTCACCGACTGGCATGGGCACACGAAGAGACAGAAATCTCCAGTAGGCCGTTTCCACCATGTCGATAATCCCGTGTGGATCATGCAATTAAATGGAAAATGAATCTGATTGGATGATGACCAGACAATAAAAATATTGGAAACAATTATCAAACTGGTTTGATAATATAAATCTTGTCACAGGCACAATAGCCTTGTTGTGGAAGCAGGGGCACACACAAGATTTTAAGACACTAGTCAGCGACAAAAATCTCCAACCAAGACTGCTCTGCTCGTAGACTATATTTTTCAAGTTATTACTTTTTCTTGAGTTTACCTTGGGGTTAACACAAACATAAGTTGTAGACTTGATGTAAACTTCAAAGTCATGGTATTAATTCCACATTTTCTTTTTCTTTCAGCCATATGGATGTTTGTTAGCAACAACTACCAGCTCTTTAGTTTTACTTCTGCCTTCTCAAGGACAGGTAACTCTCGAATTTGTTTTGAATATCATGAATTGTGAATTTTGCCTTCTTTTTGAGCATGCTAAAGTTGGCATTCAATTTAGAAGCAATTTTTGTACCAGTATGTAGGTATTATACATCAAATTGCTTTGGGCGTTTGGTTTGAGTTTGAGGCTTGCTCCATCCCCGCAAAGTTTGAAAAAGTATTGTCAAATTTTTAAACACATATTCCTCCTGGAAATAGTGTTTAATTATTCTGATGGGACATGAAAATAGTGTTTAATTATTCTGATGGGACATGGAAATAGTGTTTAATTATTCTAATGGGACATGGAAATAGTGTTTAATTATTCTAATGGGACATGGAAATAGTGTTTAATAATTCTAATGGGACATGGAAATAGTGTTTAATTATTCTGATAGGACATGGAAATAGTGTTTAATTATTCTGATGGGACATGAAAATAGTGTTTAATTATTCTGATGGGACATGGAAATAGTGTTTAATTATTCTGATGGGAAATGGAAATAGTGTTAAATTATTCTAATGGGACATGGAAATAGTGTTTAATTATTCTAATGGGACATGGAAATAGTGTTTAATTATTCTAATGGGACATGGAAATAGTGTTTAATTATTCTGATAGGACATGGAAATAGTGTTTAATTATTCGGATGGGACATGGAAATAGTGTTTAATTATTCTAATGGGACATGGAAATAGTGTTTAATTATTCTAATGGGACATGGAAATAGTGTTTAATTATTCTGATAGGACATGGAAATAGTGTTTAATTATTCTGATGGGACATGGAAATAGTGTTTAATTATTCTAATGGGACATGGAAATAGTGTTTAATTATTCTGATGGGACATGGAAATAGTGTTTAATTATTCTAATGGGACATGGAAATAGTGTTTAATTATTATGATGGGACAGTGTTCTGCATCAGATGTGTGTTTTAAAGATTTTTAAAGACAGTTTTTTTGATGAATTTAGGGATTCTGATGAATTTTCATGTTTTTGTCTTCTAGAATGTAATTGTTTGTCAACCTATAAAATCATCACAAGGAATGTTTGCTGGGTTTGGAAGAAGAATGTCATCATTTATATTTGGCGCCACCCCTTCCCAGACATCAGGAATGGTACGTTGACTTAACAATCAGTGAATAATGAATATATCAGTATCAGTATCTATGATAATATTTAGTGGTCATTATGAATTTAGTGGTCATTATAGTATTGAGATCTGATATTGATGGAAAGCCATATGAATAATGTGAACTTGATAATTTTGAGACTGAAATAAGATTATCATAAAGAAAAATGCAATTTTGAGAAAGATTTTGATTTTGGGTGTTCAGAGAATTAATGGCATTGTAAAACAGGTCAATTTGACTCATAAATTTACCACTTAGATTGAACACTTCTAAGGCAATTATATGACCATGATATATTATTTTCAGCCATTACAAGCAGTGGTATCAGGTCCAGAAGAAGAAGATTCCAGACCATTCTATGTTCTATCAGGAACTTTGTTACAGAAATGGAACTTATCAGACTCTCATACTGAAAAGGTTGGTGTTTCTTTTCAGTGCTATCAAGGGTTTCAGTGCTACCACAGCTAGTTAATTATTCTACTGATTTGTAGAAACCAGACTAGTCACAAGTGCACATAAACTGATGTGGCTTGACAATCCCATATCAAGGCAATATGTAGACAGTACTTGTAAATCAGCTTATTTCACTTTAAGCCATGAACCTTCTGTTCTAAACTATCCCTTTATTTCGATATTTAATACTTACACCCAAAAGGCTCAACTATTTATAACCGTTTTCTGTAGTTTTAAAGGGATTGTAAAGAGGTTTTCTAAACTTTTTATGTGTATCGGGGATACTGATAGCATCAATTTGCACCATTCAAATTTTCATTCCGACGTCTGTCATTCTTGTGATACCACTGAAACTAACGCGTTTTATGACGTCACTAGAGGGGAAGTGCATAGATATCAATAGTAGCTCCAATCTAGTGACATCATCATAAAATGCGTTAGTTTTAGTGGAATTGCAAGAACCACAGACGTCAGAATGAAAATTGCCAGATTTAGACATCATTCTGATTTCATACAACATATCTTGCCCTCCAGAAATATTAACAATGGTTTTTATAAGCCCACGTGAAATGTGGGGCGTATATTGCCGTCACCCGTGTCCGTTGGTCCGTCCGTCCACAATTGCTTGTTAACACTCTACACGTCACAATTCTTTAAGGATTTTGACGAAACTTGCTTAAATTGTTTATTATCACCCAAGGATGAACCCTATTGAAAATCAATAAAATCCAAAAATATTTAATATGAGTTATTGCCCTTGTTCTTTAAAACGCGTTCGATTTTTAGCTCGTTAACACTCGTTAAGTCACAATTCTTTACTGATTTTGACGAAACTTGCTGAAATTGTTTATTATAACCCAAGGATGAACTCTATAGAAAATCAATAAAATCCAAAAATATTTAATATGAATTATTGCCCTTGTTATTGAAAATGCGTTCAATTTGTGGCACGTAAACACTCTAGAAGGGACAATTATTGATGGATTTTGACGAAACTTAGTGTGAGTGTATGTATTCACCCAAGGATGAACCCTATCGAAAATCAGAAAAATCAAAAAATATTTAGTATGAGTTATTGCCCTTGTTCTTAAAAATGTGTTCAAGGTTTAGCCTGTAAACACTCTAGAAGTCCCAATTCTTGACAGATTTTGATGAAACTTGATAATATTATTCGGTATCGCCTCAAAAAGTTCAAAAGAAGTGTATGTCTGAAGGTTGAATATATCATACTGGTAATTGTTACTGTACTGCCAAATATTTTTATTTAAAATCAAAGCTGCCAGGGGGCGTATATTACCTTGCCTGGCAAGCTATCTTTGTTATTGTGACCATCAATTATAATTGTAAAATTGTGCCATCTTTATCAGTCCAATAAAGCTCCTATTTTATTTGTATATTTCAGATATCATTTCAAGTAGATGTAGATAGACTATATAAAGAAGCTTTAGCTAAACAACTATGGGTAAGTTGACATATTAAAAATCTTCACCTTCGATATCGGCCCCTTAAACCACTACTGAACTCTGGGTTGGAAAACTGTCTTTTTGTGGCAGTGGAATAGTTCAGTTGGTAGTGAGTTGATTAGGTGCCATGGGTTTCGAATCCTCCTAAAGGTTAGAAAAATTCTAATGCATGTGCCAGTGCTTTCGAGAGTCGGCCCTAATACCCAAGCTCATCATGGCCTAAAATGACAAACAAAATTTGTGTCTAAATTTGTAGCTGTCTATCTTACCTTTCTTACAAGTCAATTTTATTTTGTTTAATTTCATGGAATTCTTCAACTAACACAAAATCAGTTTCATTTAATAAATTCAAATTTGATCTATTCAGGGTCAAGAATCAGTACAACTTCCTCAGTTAAAAACATGGTTACTGGATATTCAAACCACCAGGTAATAACAGTCTGTTGCTATTATATAATCAAATATATTCACTGTTAAAATAGTGTTCAATACATGAATTCTAGAGCGATATAGAAATATTAAAACAGAACCTAAAAAAAACCTGTTGTTGAGTTTCATGCTATGTGATCTTCAGACAACTGACCTATATATATATAATTCAGCCTGCATCCCTACTGAAGTTGGACAAGCTGTTATATAAGTATTTTGTCCCATGAAGATTTTTCAATCCCCTTGTTAGTCAGTGAAGTTGAAGTAGACTTTTGTCTAGTCATATGCAAGTGAGGAATATCCAGGGCCCATGCACTAAGAAAATGAGAAGATGACTTGATAGCTAGTATATATAAAGAGGTTTGAAACAATAACTGGTTTAAGGAACTAGCTGTGGAAGAGCTGAGCTAATACAAAGTTATAGCACACTTAAGCTCCACCCATCAAAATATCAATAAAAAGTATACAAAAAAAGAAAAGAAAGAAACCACTAAATTTTACAAAGATAACAACTTAGGTTCACAGTTATGTCCAAACCTTTTGGCATTGGCTCTATCCTGGATTATCTGTACCCATTTACAACTGGATCGACTGGAATTATGAGTGAAGATGACTTATTCAAGGTCATTGAACTATCAAACGCCAATTAAGATAGGGACCCACAGCTGCCATTTGCTCGACGTTACCAAGCAAATGACGTCATGTCCACAAAAGCATCAATGAAAATTTTGCCGGCAATATTATCAGGACAAATAGTTAACAACGCACAACTGAAAATCATCAAATATAGGCATTCCAGTGGTCTGATACAATGATTTCTAAGAACTGTTATATAATATAAACATGTTTTTATGTGTATTATAGTTATGGTGTTATGATATTAGGAGCTGGTGTGAATATAGAATCTACTGATACACTGCATTATTCTATAAGTAAGTACTACTTTTAGCATAGTTTTCATAAATTTACGCAATGAACTCGAAGGGTAAATTGGTTAATAAATGAAAAAAAGTACCCCTTTCTATAACCATTTATTGTAGAGTAAAATGAACAAAAACTTCAAATTAAACTAGTTATAGCACAGCTAAGCCACTCTCATGGATTGATACAACAAAAAAGTCTGGGGGAATTGTCCAGCAGTCAAACAGAAGATTCGTGCATGGTTTCAATGTAATGTTTTTATTTTTCCAGTGTCTCTATCTACTAGCCATGATATACCACCAACTAGTCTAGATAGTTTTATAAACATAGATCATGTTGATAAGTATTCAGTAAGTATTTCTAGAGTCTCTATTAATTAGTCATGATATACCACCAACTAGTCTAGATAGTTTTCCAGTCTCTTAATTATTTGCATAGTTAACATTAAATGTTAATACCATACGCTTGAAATATTACATTTTCAAAAAAAATTTGAAGATACGATTAGTTTGTAGATAATCCTGGAGTTAGCAGAGAGCACTTAATGCTTCTTTGCAACTGGAAGTGTTAACTCTACATCTTTCAGAGAGTCCACATAGTTTGGTATTTTGTTATATTTATTTGCAGGAAAGAAATGAAGAGAAGGTACTAGGTTATCAGTTATTAGTACCTGGTAGTGGTAATAATTCAGCCTATGTTTATAACAGAAATACTATTTTTATAGTCAACCAAGAGGGTAGGTACATCTCCATCTCGACCAATCTTAGTACTAACCCTTTCAAAATACTAACCCCTTTCAAAATACCAATTCCTTTCAAAATACTAACCCCTCTCAAAATACTAATCCCTCTCAGAGTACTAATCCCTTTCAAGATACTAACCCCTTCAAAATATTAATCCCTTTCAAAATACTAATCCTTTGAAAATACTAACCTTTTCTAAATACTCATCCCTTTCAAAATACTAACCCCTTTCAAAATACTAATCCCTTTCAAAATTCTAACCCCTTTCAAAATACTAATCCCTTTCAAAATACCAACCCTTTCAAAATACTAACCCTTTCAAAATACTAACCCCTTTCAAAATACTAACCCCTTTCAAAAAAAGTGGCAGCTTAACTGGCCTCAAAAGTTACAGCCAGCCACTGAAACATAACCATGTGATGTCAGATACAGTGCTGGCTATATCATGTGGCATGTATCTTATTGTGTGGTCATTTATCAATATTTTTACAAAATTAAAAGTATATCAGGTTAATACAAATGAAAGTTGTTGTCAGATATTTTGTTAAGGGTATTAGATTCAAACATGTCTATTATAGGAGAGAATTCAGCCACAGATAAAATGGAACTTCAGGGTGTACATGATATGTATCTTGGAGCAGGTAAGTAAGCTCCCCTCTTTCTTAAAATTGAATCACCTGAAGTTGATCCAAGGCCTAACATTGGTCACAATGCTGTTTATATGATGTTTATGGGTGTTCATTTGTTTTGATATCATAGAAAAATATGGGTTATGAGCAGGCCCACAGCAAGCCCAAGGTCGAGGGGGAGGGGGCAAATTTTTAGGCGGGCTCAACTATAGCAACTCAACAAGTCATGTAAGACAACTAAATTTTTCAGCAAGGCCAAATTTTTTTTAAGGGACCGGGCCACCCTCTAGCTACCGGTCTGGTTATGAGTTCATTAATGGCCGTAGCAAATTGAAATTTGATCAAATATAATTGTGCACGTTTTGGAACAATTCAAAATATAATCTGTCCACTTTATTTTGGGATAGTTTAAGTAGTAACGAATACAACACAAGAAAGACCTGATTTATTATTTGTAATTGTAGGAAGTACCGATGGTAAAGCTCTGTTCTTCTCCAACTCTCATGGTTTATTTTCACTGTCACCTCAAAATCACATTGATACCAGGTAGGTTTGATAAAAAGATTAATTTACCTTAATATATCCCTTTTCAGAATGAATCTGTGAAACTAGTTTGCCTACAATATGATAGAAACTCATTATTGAAAGTGACTGTAGTTATATATTGTTTTATTTCCCTTTCAGTATACTAGAAGAATCAGGTCATGATCCATTTACACAAAATGATGGGGTAAGACGATTGCTTTTTTTTGTCAATATGTCAAGATGGTGCTGTTGATTGCTTACACGCTTTAAGAACACAAGATATATGGATATACTACTTCTAGGTTTATTACATACTACGTTACGAAACAATATAGGTAACGTTATCAACTAAAATGACTAACAACCAAACAACACAAGATATATAGGTAAATCAATAGAAGCCATAAAGGGATATAACAATAACAATCATGATTAAAGATGTACCTATAATAACAACAGAGGATAGAGGATGCTTACAAGCTTACAATTTCTCTCCTTGCCAATTTTGATTAGGGCAAAACTGTAACAGAAAAATAATACATAAATAAGACATTTCATATATGTAAAAAACGAGTCAGAGTTATTGGGCGAGACAAGAGGCATTTCATTTTTTACATGAAAACTCCAAATAGATTTCTTTGTATCTTTCAGTCCATGATGGGAAATAATTTACCACAGGTAACTGAATTAAGTCAAAGTGACAGTAAATCAGCCAGATTAAAAGCTGCTTTCCTTTCTTCAATATCAGGCAATATAGTAAGTATTCTTTTGTGTGTTTATTCCATAATATTGTCTTGTATTATTAAATAATTGTGTTTATTCCATGATATTGTCTTGTATTATTAAATAATTGTGCTTATTCCATAATATTGTCTTGTATTATTAAATAATTGTGCTTATTCCATAATATTGTCTTGTGTTATTAAATAATTGTGCTTATTCCATAATATTGTCTTGTATTATTAAATAATTGTGCTTATTCCATGATATTGTCTTGTGTTATTAAATAATTGTGCTTATTCCATGATATTGTCTTGTATTATTAAATAATTGTGCTTATTCCATAATATTGTCTTGTATTATTAAAGAATTGTGTTTATTCCATAATATTGTCTTGTATTATTTAAGAATTGTGTTTATTCCATAATATTGTCTTGTGTTATTAAAGAATTGTGTTTATTCCATAATATTGTCTTGTGTTATTAAAGAATTGTGTTTATTCCATAATATTGTCTTGTGTTTGGGATAGCTTCTTGTATTTATTGTCTTTTTTTTCTCTTTTTCCTTAGCAACAAGCGCAGTCTATCCTATCAGAGTTATTTCCCCCTGAGTTAAGTAGTGAAGATGGTACAGGAAGTGAGGTAGATGAGTTAGTGGTAGGATTGAGTTGCGATGTTATTGATGATTATCCTGCCTCAGATCCACGCTGGGCTCAAAACATTAAACAGGGTAAGTATAAGATAAATTAACAGTTAAAACAGATGTAAAGAGATATAAGAGAGCTACCATTTTATGGCCCCATAATTTTCCGAATAAAGCAAGAAATCATTATCAATATGTAGTCGCATAAAAAAAAGTAATATCGTGGGTTACTACTTAAAACATCGTATAACGATATATTGCGCGAAATTACCTTTTCGAGAAAAACGCAAAAAAACTATTTGTACGTATATTTTCCTTGAGATATTTTTATTATTTTTTTTACCGCTATACATGGTTTTCATTCTTTGAAAATTTAAACCTTGTATAACAATTTGAGTACTTCAACCTATTCAACCAATAACTCGTATAATAATACAGTATACGAGGTTTTTCATTTTCATCCGCAGAAACCTCGTATAATATAATATATTTTACAAGGTTTTAAATCTGACTGTTTATATACGTGTTATTTAATTGGTGGTTTTGAGTTATTTACAATCAAGCTAAGAATACGAGCTTTTGAACAGTACCAAAAAGTCAAAATGACCAAATATGGCATAAACGAGGTTTCTAGTGGTCACCCATGATATATGAATTTGTTTATCAATATTTGATATATTTTGGTATTATTACAGGTGACGTTACTAACAGTTCCAGTTCCTTGTTAATTTTACAACAGTTAAAAGATAAAGAGAAAGCTCATAGTTATCTTATAGCTTTCCTTAAAAAACTTCATCTGTGGGATAGGGTAGGTGTGATTAGAATTTCTTTTCATTATCTCTAACTTAGATGTTACAGTGATACAGGCTTAAGTTCTGTATGGACATTAGGGCTGCAACGATTCACCGATGAATCTATGAGCCATGATTCTTTCCTTCTTATCTATGCATTGCGTTGGATAAAAAATAATCATGATGTATCAGCACGATTAATTCTTAGCCCCTTTTAATAACAAATGACACAGAATCCTTGTGTGTATAAGAAATTGTGTCATGTTTTCCTTTTCTTAGTATGATTTGCCATTCAAAATTTGCAAAAATTCATTTCTGACTTTGAAATTATAGATTTTTGTCACAATTCCTTACTTCTAAATGTTCTGAAGTGCTTAATAGTGACAAAATTGTTAGTACTTTTACAAATTTCTACTATTTTTTCTCTTTCCTTCTCTAATAAATGAATGGTGATAATTATTGCAATAAATCGTATCGTTGGATGTGTATTGTATAGTGTATCGAATCGATGCAGCCCTAGTGGACATACATACTGACAACCTTACTAATCCATGTTCTAAACTAACAATATTTCATGCTTTTGAGTAATTTCCCTTGAATGAGTAAAAAAGTGTCAAAATTAGCCATTAGGCATAATAGGTACTAAGTGTTCTCAAGTAGTTGACATTTCCCTCAGTGTACACTGCATGGTGTGACCCGTTAAAGGGATTGTAACAAGGTTTTCTATATTTTGTATGTGTATTGGGGACAATGATACCATCAATTTTCACTATTCCAATTTTCAATCAGACGTCTATGGTTCTAGTAATTCTACTAAAACTAAGGTGTTTTACATCACCCCAGCGAAAGTCTTATGTGATAAGGCAAATTTTGCAGGGTGATGTCATAAAACACTTAGTTTTAATGGAATTGCAGGAATAACCAACTTCTGATTGAAAATTGGAATTGTGTAAATTGATGCTATCAGTGTCCCGAATAAGCATTACAAAATTAGAAAACCTCTTTACAATCACTTTAAGCTAAATAGAAGATAAAAATAGCATGTAAGATATAAAAAGAATCTCTTATGTAAGCATATATTATCTTGTCTTGTAAGTTATGTTTACTTATTTTAGCTAAGTATAATCAATGTAAACAGTACCTATATGTCAACAACATCTGTTTTATGTGAACATGCTGAAAAACTGACAGCTGCCATCACTCTCAGACAATTACAAACAGAGTAAGTATTTCCACCATTATATATTCCCACATCTTCACCAAGTCTGCACTCTTCCCTGTCTGTTGGTTCACATTTTTACACGAAGTGGTCATGAAGATCAAGCTTGAATTTGAGCCCTTTGCACGAATTAAAATCAGAGTACATGCCCTTGTCCTCAATAATAAAACGCCTACAGCCACTGAAATCTTCCTGAAACTCGGAAAGAATGCATATAACACAAATAAATTTTGTTTGCTCAAATTTGTGAAAACTATACGCGAAAATCAAGAGAAATGTGCTCTTTTAACGTATAAGAAAGTTTTAACAAAAAAATCCAGACGTTAATTTTTAAATGTCAAAAATATTAAAAAACATTATGTAAGGTTTTTAAGTTCGTTATGCTTTTTGGAAGCTGTTAGAAAACTACTGTACGGATTTGAGTAAAATAAACGATTTTTGATTATGAAAACATTTTCCAAAAAAGCAGAATGTCCCTTTAAAGATTCAGTAGCTAGTTGGCACTTTGTAACGATTCGGAAATTCATAATAGATGATATTGGTTTCAAGTTATCACTGAGCAAAACCTAAGAGCACAGGCTATAGAAACCAAGGCACCTAGCTAAGAACAATCCAGGGAGGTATTGGTGTTTACATAGTTCAATATAAAGTTATTTATATTTCAGACATCATACAGATATTATAGATGAGTGTATTAAACATGTATTTAAAATGAGAGGAGAGAATTTACGAAGGTTACCATCTGGTTTAACTCCACAAGATATCTTCTATAGAGAGGTACAATCTTCATTTATTTTTAAACTAGGTTTGACTTCAGGCTTTCTTAAGCATTCATCAAACGCGCAGTCTTGGTTGAAGATTTTTGGCGCTGATTAGAGTCTTGTGTGTGCCCATGCTTCCATCAAACTGGTCTCATAATTGTCTCCGATATTTTTGTTGTCTACAAGACAGTCAGATTTATTTTCCTTTCACATGATAATCGACAATGTGGAAAACGACCGACTAGAGATTTTTTTCTCCTCATGTACCCATGTCAGTCAGTGAAACTTTTGACAAGACACTAGTCTACAAAAATCCTTAACCAAGAATGTTCGTGTGCCTGCAACTTTAGTCTCAGAAACAGGAATTTTTTAGTTAAGCTAATCAGTAATAATGTTCACAGCTTACCTCCGAAATTTGAGCCTTCAGATCAATGTGTGTCCAGAATTATTCCTGTTCGAAAGTTAAAATGACAACTCATCTTTTCTTGAGACTTGATATTTAGAAAAGACAGGTATTATGTGATATCTGGGCAGTTCTGGTACTTCTTAAGACAATTTACATATATTCAAGACCCAAATCAACGCAAAAAATGGCACACCCTGGCCTGTATTCTTTGTAGGTATCTAGGATAGAAGAAGTTATAGAAGCACTGGTAGAGTTAGAAACTGATACACTAGAGAAAGAACCCTCCCCACAGAGACGTGTAACACTTATAACAGCTGTTAATTCTATAATTGAGGTAAGTCCACCTTTATACTTAAAGGGATAAATGCCCCAATCATAATAAATCGTAAGTCAATTTTTGCTGATTTTAATTGTTGATTTTTGCTGATTTTAATGGTCGATTTTTACAGATTCTATTAATGATTTCTGCTGATTTTGATGATTGATTTTTACAGGTTCAATTGATGATTTCTGCTGACTTTGATGATTGATTTTTACAGGTTCTATTGATGATTTCTGCTGACTTTGATGGTTAATTTTTGCTGATTTTAATGGTAGACTTCTACAGATTCTATTAATGATTTCTGCTGATTTTGATGATTGATTTTTACAGGTTCTATTGATGATTTCTGCTGACTTTGATGGTTAATTTTTGCTGATTTTAATGGTCGACTTCTACAGATTCTATTAATGATTTCTGCTGATTTTGATGATTGATTTTTACAGGTTCAATTGATGATTTCTACTGATTTTGATGGTTGATTTATACAGGTTCTATTGATGATTTCTGCTGATTTTGATGGTTGATTTTTACAGGTTCAATTGACGATTTCTACTGATCTTGATGGTTGATTTTTATAGATCCTATTGATGATTTCTGCTGACTTTGATGGTTGATTTTTACAGGTTCTATTGATGATTTTTGCTGATTTTGATAATTTATTTTTACAGGTTCTATTGATGATTTTTGCTGATTTTGATGGTTGTTTTGTACAAATACAATTAATGATTTCTTGTGATTTGATGGTTGATTGTTATAGATTCTATTGATGATTTCTGCTGATTTTGATGGTTGATTTTTACAGATTCTATTGATGACTTTTGCTGATTTTGATGGTGGATTTTTACACATTCGATTGATGATTTCTACTGATTTTAATGGTTGATTTTTATAGATTTTATAATGAATTTTGCTGTTATAATGTTGGTATTTTCGTTTCATTGATGTTGTTTTTGCTTGGAAATTTCAGGCTGCAATATTATGTTTCAGGGTATGTTAACTACAGCATTACAGTATCGTCAATCGAAAGCTGAAGCCTATATTTCACCTACTATACTAGGTTTACAACAAGAATATAAACCTTGGACATCTACTGGTGGACCTAGAGGTCTTCGTACACTACTCTTTAAACAGGTAAGATTAGATTTAAAAAATCTTTAATTTCTACTGGAGAAATCTTATTGTTTCAGGGACATCTTGGCCTCTATTTACATTTTCTGTCCAACATCTGTTAATCTAGCTTATGATGTCACTAGTACAGATACCATTAAGCTTTGTGATTCCAGCATTGTAACTATTTTATTAGAAGTTTTTTGGACGGGAACCACAAATGTCAAACAAGAATTTTGAATTTTAACTGGTGACTGTATTTTAAGTCCCTTCGGAGTTGATTATCTAACTATTAAACATATTATTAAATAATTAAATGTTATTCATCAAATCAATAGAAAATGATTAGTAATTCCTGTGAAATATTTTCTTTTTAGGTCAATTTGACTGTAGAGGGCGCTGTGACAGAAATTAAAGATGATGATACTAAAAATGTGGTATTTCAACAATTGTTGGTGATATCTGATATATTATTGGATGGTTACAGTAACCAATTAGAATCCCTACGTAGATCAGACGGCAATGAGGAGGCATATATTACTCTAGAACAAAAATATCAACAGGAACGACAGAATCTTATAACTCCATTAGGTATGGCTATAGAGACTGTTTAATAATCTGAATTATTGGGCTGTGAAATTTTATGATGTTATCAGTAAAGTTCAATTCTAAATTTTTTTTTTAGAATTTTGTCTCATATTAGTCTTAGTCTTTTGATCCAAAAGAATGTTAACTTATGGTTACTTGATTAAAAACTTGTCTCACGTACAATCCAATCTCCTAATGATATTTTTTGTTCATAGGTTGGAATTTCTAACTTATCAAAAAGGCCATCAATAATTCTCAATGATATTTGAAGATGAAATTTCAATTCCTATAAAACTGATTAACAAAATGTAATTATTACAAACTATTGGCAAAATTAAAATTTTTTTTTTATGAAAATGCTCTTTACCTACAATATATGACTTTATATTATTTTCAGTTGAAAATGAGGAATATGAAAGAGCCCTCTCACTAGCTGAAAAATATTCTGATTTTCAAACATTAATAATGGTTTGCGAAAAAACTAATAATAATGAAAGATTACAGAGATATGTAGAACAATATAATGAACAGGTTAGTAATAGTTATAGTTAATTATAGTTTGTTATAATAATGAGAGATTACAGAGATATGTAGAACAATATAATGAACAGGTTAGTAATAGTTATAGTTAATTATAGTTTGTTATAATAATGAGAGATTACAGAGATATGTAGAACAATATAATGAACAGGTTAGTAATAGTTATAGTTAATTATAGTTTGTTATAATAATGAGAGATTACAGAGATATGTAGAACAATATAATGAACAGGTTAGTAATAGTTATAGTTAATTATAGTTTGTTATAATAATGAGAGATTACAGAGATATGTAGAACAATATAATGAACAGGTTAGTAATAGTTATAGTTAATTATAGTTTGTTATAATAATGAGAGATTACAGAGATATGTAGAACAATATAATGAACAGGTTAGTAATAGTTATAGTTAATTATAGTTTGTTATAATAATGAGAGATTACAGAGATATGTAGAACAATATAATGAACAGGTTAGTAATAGTTATAGTTAATTATAGTTTGTTATAATAATGAGAGATTACAGAGATATGTAGAACAATATAATGAACAGGTTAGTAATAGTTATAGTTAATTATAGTTTGTTATAATAATGAGAGATTACATAGATATGTAGAACAATATTATGAACAGTTTAGTAATAGTTATAGTTAATTATAGTTTGTTATAATAATGAGAGATTACAGAGATATGTAGAACAATATAATGAACAGTTTAGTAACAGATCATAGAAATCCTTACTGAAATAGTTGCCTATAGATAAAAGATAATGAAAAAATCTTGTGCAACATTTTTATTAGATTATATTCCACTATAGCCCTACGGCATCTCGGATTTACGAATGCATTATTCTTGTTACGTCACTAGAATATGCACGCCAATCAACGTTCAAAGAATGAAAAATTCACATGCTTGTTAGTGTACACAAGCAGTCATGTGACTATATATGGTTACTATATAAACCATATCTCAACTGTGATCGATGTCTTCTTTCTTGTTGAAATCTAGACCTTGCACGTTGTAAGTAATATTATATTGTTTACTCAACTTATTGTCGTTGATATCCGGCGTTTAGATGAGAGGGGAATTTGCCTTTATGACCTCCACAAGCAATAATTTATACTTTAAACGAATTTAAAATTGATGATTATTATATTTCAGGGTTTTTCTACTGTTTTATTTGACTGGTATATGAAACACGGTAAGTTATTATTAATATATCTACCAATACATTTCGATTATTTTCTGAAAAAGAGTCCATCACAGGGTGACATTCGCAGTCCTCTAGCCTTGGGTATCCATGCAAGTTTTTGACATGACCTATGCATGAAATATGTTCTACATTACTGAAATAGATTGAGAGCAAGACTGTTGAAAAAGTCAAATAGGCCAAATGATGTTTGTTATTTTGAAAAATTACCTTAAAGGGATAGATGCGCCATTTTTTTACCGGCCATACCTTAGTCACGGAAAAGGGAATTCTTTAGCTAAGCCTATCAGTAATAGCGTTCACAGTTCACCGTTCATTTGAGCCTTGTGTGTCCAGAATTATCTGCGTTTTAAGTTAAAAAGACGACTCATCAATTTAAGATACTCTGTGATATATAGAAAAGAAATACATTTATATAGAAATAGTAAGTAAAATTCCTAGTTAGAGTATTTTTGAAGGCAATTTTCATACATTTCTAGTACTTTTGAAGACTATTTACATAATCAAAACTAAAATCAACCCCCAAAAATGGCGAACTGTCTCTTTAATTGCACACTAATGGCATTCCTTGCCTTATTCTAATATGAACAACACCAACACTATTTAGGAAAAATAAACTAATGTTATATATTTCGCTTTCCTTCAGGTCGTAGAGGAAGGCTGTTTTCTCAACAGATAGGTAATTCAAGAGATCTAGGCCAGTTTCTAGAATCTGATAACAATCGATATTTAAGCTGGCTTCATGATATCTCTAACCAACAATATACACAGGCTCATGAAACATTACTAGATCTAGCTAGAACAGAAACTACATTCGCTTCCAAGAAAAAGGTATGACTTATTAGTCCATCTTCTTGATATTAAGCTATTATGAAGTCTTATACCTTGACTCTATTAAACTCTTTGTTGTACGTAAATGCAGTGATTTGATTGGATTGTTCGCTTACAATTACAGCCAATGTTTTCTGTTTGTTTTTCCAGACATTATTAAGTTTAAGTAAGTTAACAGCTCTAGCCTCTGATAACCAGTCTCCTGATATGAAAGAGCGAATGGATGGTAAGTTTTGTCTGTATCATTGGTGCTAGATAACCAGGTTTTTGAGATGTATGTCCATGTATGTCCAAAGGACAGTTAGATTGTTAGTTGTGCTGGCAAAATCTCCCTGAGTATTCGTCAAGTGCCTAAACAATTAATATCAGATTACTATTACTATTTTATTTCCTTTTTTCTAATATTTTTCATCTCCATCATAATCTAGCAAGCTTTATTCCACAGAAAATGACATTATTTTTAACCAATCAAACCATGAATAACAATTAAATTTTATTCCCTATAGAAATAGATGATCAGTTAGATTTGATTTTACATCAAGAACAACTTCCACCAGATTCTTTACAGGTAAATTACATTGATTATTAATTATTTATTAACATTATCAAAACTGTGGAACTCTGATTGCACAGTGAATCAAATTAAGCTCTCTTAAAGGGGCAGAGGCAGCATTTTGGGGGGGTGTTGATTTTAGTCTTGAATATATGTAAATAGTCTTCAGAAGTACTAGAAATGTATGAAAATCACATAATTCCTTTAAAAATACTTCAAAGTAGGAATTTGACTCACTATTTCTATATATGTCTTTTCTATATATCACAGAGTATCTTAAATTGATGAGTTGTTGTTTTAACATTCAAACACAAATAATTCTGGACACCCAATGATTTGAAAGCTAAAATTTCGACAGTGAGCTGTGAACACTATTACAGATTGGCTTAGCTAAAAAATTCCCGTTTATGAGACTAAAGTATGATTGGTCAAGAAAATGGCCCATCTGTCCCTTTAATTTGAAATCTGCAGTTTGGATATGACATTTCTAAAGATAGTATTTTCAACCAAGTTACATGTCAAGTCAGGGCAGTTAGGCTGTCATGAAGATTGCTGTTGGTTGTGTCTAATACTGAACTCTCTGTATTCTGAATCATTTTCTTATGAATTGAAATATCAACTACGAAATACTACTGAGATTCTTAAATTGTTTTTGGGTTGATGAAAGTGTTAAACAATTAAAAAAAATATTATATGTAATAATATAAAAAAAAATGATGTTACAGAGGGGAATTTTCAGTCCGAAAAGTGGGCCATTTTCAAGTGAATTTTCAGGTCTATTTTCAATGTGAAATAACCAAACCTTATATTTCCATGGACCCGAAAATATTCTAAGACAAATAATATACAGTTAAAAATTTTATTTTGTATATTTATGAAATTTGAGAAAAAATTCAATTCAGAGCTCAATGTAGTCAGACAGTAGTTAAAGATTACTTGACATTTTAAAATTTTTAAACAATTTCTACAAAGCTTGTGAATAACGTAAAATTCTAGGTTTTGATGACTTTTCTCTCTGAAAAAAAACAATAAAATTTTCTGTGATATCTTTTACAGCATTTAGGTATGGATACAAACAATATGAGTGTTTTAAAACCACAGGAAATTATAGAGGTAACTAAATTACTTGATGGTCCACAAATTTATTCTTCTGTTCAGTAGCATTTACTTCGGAATCCAAGAATATATTCTATATTCCTTTTAGAGCCTTGGTTTCCAACCTGGGGTATTTTCATCCCCTGGGGGTGTGGGACTAAGGTGTCAGGGGTGTGGCCAACTGGTGTAGAAGAAGAATTTATTTTGAATTGAGAGAGCACCTCACATCATTATATGCTGCAAATGTGGATGAAACAAATTTTTGGGGTTGTCCATGTGATTGCCGTGGTGTGACAGCTGAAATAGGTTGGAAACCATTGTTTTAGAGAGTCAACATGTATATATATATGATTATTGGTATTTAAATTTACTTGTAGGTGGAAATATTTTTAATTTTAAAATCTGTTTTCTATTGTAGTTATATATAAGTGAAATTAATGCTGTAGCAACAGAATACGAGTTTAAAAAGGCTTTAGATTTACTGCAATATCTGGACCAAGTAAGACTTTTTTTTTAAAGAGTAGGCCTGATCAATTTTTACAGGATATCTGCTTAGTCTTTAGAACATTGACTAATACAGAAATCGCTTGAAGACATGTTGGTTTTCCAATTTCCACTTTCTGAACAAATACATCTATTGGTGACAAAATTCAGATTTTGAAAATATGTTTTTATTGTTTATGCTTGTGTTTGATTGGTTATATTTGAATAAATGGTGGGGAGCCGCCGTGGCTCAGTGAGTTAGACACTTGCTCTCTAACCTGAGGGTCCAGGATTCAATCCAGGCATAGGTCGAGATAATACCTACGGATTTTTCAACCCAGTTCCCCCCCCTGTCAGTGATGCAGGTAAGAGGGGCTGACATGGAAAAAGCGTCTCGTCGTTCGGATGGGACAATAAACCGAGCCCCCATTTGCTACAGATTGTGCACGTTAAAGATCTCTCTATAGTTGGAAATAGAAAAAGAGCAGGCTAATGCCACTGTCCTGGTAACATTTCTCTCATTGCACGTCTTCATTAGCCCACGTGCAGAAAATTAGGACGTAAAACTCCATTCATTTGATTTCGTTTTGAACAAATGGTAGTTAAGACACTATCCTTGTAATAAATTGAAACTTTCTTTTTCTCTCTATAGGAAGATGATGATATAGATATCAATGAATTAAGATTACATATATGGTCTAAAGCTGTTCTCAGAGATAAGTTAGTATTGCTGTTAATATATTTAGTAATTGTATTCTCTTTGTGAAAATAGTCAAGTAAATGTACATATGACTATTGGTTAAATGACATAGTTGACCTTTCTTGTGCCAAACATTATGACAATACCGGTAGGCTATGATATAATACACCTTCTCTCAAGGGCAAATTGAGATCAAATTTCACGTCATATCGTTATATGAGGTTTCAAATGGTCACCCACGATAATCTGCTAGCCAGTCAAGAAAATGATTAACTACTCTGTGGCCTCTGTGATTTTTAAATGGATTCCTTTAGTTTTAATGTTGCTATATCCATAGAAAAGGCTGCCAAGAGTAGTTTTTGCGATGCAGTAACAATGGTTTTATAATGAGAATATTATATTGTTTTTTGCAGTTGGAAGGATAATAAAGCCAGTGACCCATTAGACACGATAAAAGATACAATTTTCTTTAAAACAGTTGATCTAGCTTACAATGAAGGTAGGTTTGGTTCACATTTTTTCAATTTCAAACATAAAACCTTATAACAAGGTACTATTATAGCTTATTGCAGTGTTTTAACCAATCATAAATGTCCATGTATATACAGTCTGGATAAACAAAAAAGACTTTTTGACCTTTCTTGAACGGTCACTCATATGAATTCTGCTGGTAATTCTCTAAAATAAGGGAACCCATCTTTAATCTAATACTTTAATCTTTTTTCTAGGTTTAGATTTAACAGAATATTTACCGAGTGTAGAAGAAATCTTACAGTCTGAAGAACTTGGTGATCTACGAAATCATCCCAACTTTCAGTTCTTAATCAAAGCAGGCTACGAACATTTACAATCAGTCATGTGACCTAGTGTCAATTAAAGATGGTGTTTATTTGCATCCTGTAAATATTTGCTGGTAATTCAATTTCAGCTCTTCCTATCATTTTTCAAAATGAAAATCCAACACATGGTTTGTCATCAATTAAAGGAAATGTCTTGGTGGAAGTGACTACAGATTTAACTACCAGACTGGAGCACAATTTCAGCTCTACCGATCATTTTTCAATATGAAAATCCAACACTTGGTTTGTTATCAGTTAGTTAAGGAAATGTCTTGGTGGAAGTGACTACGAATTTAACTGGAGCTAAATTTCAGCTCTCCCTATCACTTTTCAGAATGAAAATCTAACACATGGTTTGTCATCAATTAAAGGAAATGTCTTGGTGAAAATGACTACAGACTAAACTTCCAGACCCTTAATAACATATGCTGATATTATCAATATCATGATATCATTAGTAACTGGGTGGAACAATGTTATAAACAAGTCTTCTATTGATACATTTTTATTTAATTGTAAACGAACCAGTTATATTATGAAAAGTGATCTGGAAAGCTGAAAAACTTTTTTTGGATGACTAATTATCAGATGTTTCATTTACATTAATAATAGTGACATTTTTTCCACTTTATCTAAAGTGCTTGAATTTAAAGAACATCATGTTGAAATCAGAAAAGCGATATGTACATTTTGTTTTGTCATTTTCCTTGAATCTTCAATAAAAATCACGCTACCATCAATATTGTTGTTTTATATTGTCTTAAAATTTTGGGTAGGAGACTAATAGAGGCCGACACAAAACCTCAGATCAATCGGATTTTCACAAGAAGAATCTGTTTATTCTGGTAATCTAAACTAACAATCGCCGGTGTTCTAAGGCTGGGATATCACTATATTAATATATCACAATATGGGTATACATGCATATCTCAATATTTATTAAGTATTGTTTTAACAGATAATGTCTAGCAAAATACCATAAGTACTGTAACTAAAATTAATTTTTTTAGAGACAAGATTCCAGTGACCAAATTACTGTAACTAAAATTCCAAAATTACTGTGACTGATTTTCTAGTGACAAAATTACTGTGACTTAATTTCTAGTGACAAAATTACTGTGACTAAATTTCTAGTGACAAAATTACTGTGACTAAATTTCTAGTGACAAAATTACTGTGACTAAATTTCTAGTGACAAAATTACTGTGACTAAATTTCTAGTGACAAAATTACTGTGACTAAATTTCTAGAGACAAAATTACTGTGACTAAATTTCTAGAGACAAAATTACTGTAACTAAAATTAATTTTTTTAGAGACAAGATTCCAGTGACCAAATTACTGTAACTAAAATTCCAAAATTACTGTGACTGATTTTCTAGTGACAAAATTACTGTGACTAAATTTCTAGTGACAAAATTACTGTGACTGACTTTCTAGTGACAAAATTACTGTGACTAAATTTCTAGTAACATAATTACTGTGACTAAAGTTCTGGTGACCAAATAACTGTGACTAAATTTCTAGAGACAAAATTACTGACTAAATTTCTAGAGACAAAATAACTGTGACTAAATTTCTAGAGACAAAATTACTGTGACTAAAGTTCTGGTGACCAAATAACTGTGACTAAATTTCTAGAGACAAAATTACTGACTAAATTTCTAGAGACAAAATAACTGTGACTAAATTTCTAGAGACAAAATTACTGTGACTAAAGTTCTGGTGACCAAATAACTGTGACTAAATTTCTAGTGACAAAATTACTGTGACTGACTTTCTAGTGACAAAATTACTGTGACTAAATTTCTAGTAACATAATTACTGTGACTAAAGTTCTGGTGACCAAATAACTGTGACTAAATTTCTAGAGACAAAATTACTGACTAAATTTCTAGAGACAAAATAACTGTGACTAAATTTCTAGAGACAAAATTACTGTGACTAAAGCTCTGGTGACCAAATAACTGTGACTAAATTTCTAGAGACAAAATTACTGACTAAATTCCTTTGACAAAATAACTGACTAAATTTCTTGTGACAAAATTACTGTGACTAAATTTCTAGTGACCAAATAACTGACTAAATTTCTAGTGACAAAATTACTGTGACTAAAGTTCTAGTGACCAAATAACTGTGACTAAATTTCTAAAGACAAAATTACTGTGACCAAATTACCGTGACTAATTTCTAGTGACCAAATTACTGTGACTAATTTCTAGTGACCAATTAACCGTGACTAATTTTCTAGTGACCAAATTACTATGACTAAACTCCAGTGACTAAATTTCTATTGTCAACTTACATCGACTTATTTACAGTGATAAATACCGTGACAAATTTCCATTGAAAAAATCATCGTGACTGTAGCCAGTGGCCAAATTACCGTGACTATATTTCAGTGACAATATTTCTTTGACCAAATTACGCTGAAAAGTGATTCTGATAGCTGATTTTGGACATTTTATCCGCTGAGGCAACAACGCATCCAATTTTTTTTATACTTCATCTGGTGAGAAAAGCTCGTCCGAACAAATATTGGAAACTTCGCCGTTCATGATTCACTCTGTGCGTGCCTCTGACTTTTAGGTACTTTCATCGCACATCATAAAATCTGTTTTCCTCTTAAGGAACAAGGACAAAAACAAATCTATAAATCTCCGATGTTTGTCTATGAATTTATACATGAAAATCAGATTCATTCCGACCACAGGAGACTGCCAAGAACTGGTCTCGATAACAATGAGAATCCATTTCAATCTTTTGGGGCAAAGACTATGGTTAGTTAAGATTTCTGAAAACGGATAAAATAAGAAAAAGTTTTTTGTAATGTTCTTGTCCCGTCGATGCCAAACGCGGTATCATTGGCACATTACTGAATTTGAGATAAATTGCAGCTATCTGCCACCAGAGTGAGACGATTTCATTAAAGAGGAAGTTGCTTCATTTTGGGAGGTTGATTCAAGTCTTGCATATATGTAAATAGCCTTCAGAAGTACTAGATCACTATTATAAATAGGCTTAGCTAAAAAAAAAAAATTTAAGACTAAGTGATGATTGGTCAAAAATTGCGGACTTGTCCTTTAATATTGACCTACACTTTGACCTCCTACATATTCTAGAAAGACTTCCTTGTGTGTTGTATTCTGATGTGAACATCAAAAGTTGGGAAATCGGTTTCATTTATCAGAAAGCTAAACTAACAGAGATCATGGGATTTTAATCACGTAGATATCAGATTTTTCTGACTAAATACTGATGAGTTCGTTATATAAAAATTACTTAATTAAGTCAGATCCCCCTACTTACAAGACTGATTGATAAAGTCTATGTCAAACAGGAAGTCTCGATTGTCAATATACACAATCTTGAGTTCACATTAGGTCACATGACTGATTGTAAATGTTCATAGCCTGCTTTGATTAAGAACTGAAAGTTGGGATGATTTCGTAGATCATCAAGTTCTTCATACTGTAAGATTTCTTCTACACTTGGTAAATATTCTGTTAAATCTAAACCTAGAAAAAAGATTAGTTTTCTTTTTGAGATGTTCTTTTTTTAAAGAACTGTTTCATCAGATTGTATCAATATTTCTATATATAAAAAAAACGCCAGATGAGTATGAGTCGCCAATGTATTGGAAAGGAAAATTAACATTGTTCAAAAATAATCTTAAAGGTGACATCAAGTCTAATTCTGTGTTTCTTCAAGGATTATGATTAACATTCTAAAGTTTTCCATAAACTGGTTGTGGAATATCTCACTAAAGACATAAATTGATCGAAAGATTGATAGGGCGCCCGCACACAGATTGGAAATGGCCCAGTGCTACTTGCGCTCGACTAGAAGCACATCGTCTGCGGGCAATTTTTGGTTTGCATTTAGCTAGATTTATGCCGCCAGCATACGGCTACGCCGGTAATAAATTCTGCTTTTGACCAATCGTGGTCGTATGGAAAATATCTATCGTGCTTGGTGTTTCTTGCCACAAATGACCAATGGCCATTTACTCAGACGACGGACACAATGGGCTTGCGTTGTCGATATTTAAAGATGGTAGCGTTTGGGGATGTTTTTGCAGAAATAATATTGACCAATCAGTTTACTAGATAGTGTTAAATGAATACGAAAATGGTTTCGAATTTTGTGACAGGGACCACTGATACGGTTCAGAGATCGGGGTACAGAATGTTGAAATACAGCACGGAATACATTTTAGAAATACAAGATGTAATTCCTTCAAATTCTGAAATTAAAGTCAACATAACTAGCAAAGCTTCTGAAGGATTATTGGAATCAGACATAGAAATTGAAGCATTAATGTATCAATTCACTATAATCTTTTAAAAGATATATTTTATTAAAATATAGAGCTTCGCTTGTCTCCGTCAAGTTTCCTCTCTATTAAATATGGACGCATGAGTTAATAAAGGAATTTAAATTCTGAACTCTATTTTAAAGGCATGGTTCAGCATTTTTGGAGGTCACCCATACCTTGGTCTCAGAAACGGGAACATGATCGTAACCAGTCCAATGTGCAAAGGGAAGGCTGCATTTGCATGGGATGCTATAGCTTGGATGCTATAGCTGTTAGAGACTGATTTCTTCAAATTTTGAAGGGGGGGGGGGGGGGGGGGAGGGGGGATACAAAGTGTAGTAACCAAAGGGGACTGAACAACAGATCATATAGTCCATTGCATCTGAAATGATAACGTGACAGCGAAGCACAAATCTTGATCTTTATATTAATCGGATTGTATGCAAACTCGCTCTCTTTATTAGTCTGTAAAAGTCTAAGTTGTTCGGTCTACTTCTCTATTCTATTTCCAATACCCAATTCGCTCTCAGCAATTCTATAAACGACCGGGAGTGTTATTATGGTCTAATTCCTGCACTTCTAGCTCTAAAAGTATGAGGAGTCAATTTATCTGAATTGAGCCTTGTCTAACGAGTTTATTACCAAGTGTCGACGAATGGTCAAATCGTTCATTTAGGAAAACATTTGATTACTGATTACATTTTCTCAGAATAGTAAATTTCTAACCTCCAGCGACTTGTGTATTCATTAGGAAAATTTGCTGCCGTTGACTCTATTTTCTATTTTATAAGATAATCCGAAAGTTCTAATTTTCGAATCATGATTAAAGGGATTGTAAAGAGTTATTCTAAATCTTTTTTGTGTATTGGTGAAAAATCTTATTTTTATTCAAACATCTGTGGTTCCTGCAATTCCAATAAAACTAAACGTTTTACGATGTCACTATCAGTAGCGATATTATAAGCAGATTTTATTGGGTTTGTGACGGCATAAAACTCCCAGTTTTAGTGGAATCGCAAGAGCAAATGACTGAAAAGCGGAACGTTGGAAATCGATGCTATAAGTGTCTCCGAAACACATAATAAGTTAAACTTAAAGGGGTATTCCGCTTTTTTGTAAAATGTTTTCATAATCAAAAACGTCTTAAATTATACTTGAAAATATTTCTAAAGTATGCTATTTATATCTATGTATCTTCTTGGATTGTTTAAAAGGGTTAATTAAAAACGGACAGTACTAATTTGTTAATTAAGCATTTTGACCTAGTTTTGGTGTTTTGGTTGATTTATAATGGCTCGATATTATTAGTTGAAACCTTCAGAATACGTAGGAGACATATTTCTCTATAATTAATTTCCTGAACAGATCGCTTGATTGGATAATACGTTGGCGAATACATCCAATTAGAGGCCGCGTTTTAG